GGCCTCCCTGGGCCGCCTGGCCGCCCTGCTGCGGGCGCCGCCCGGCCGAGTCCGACCGGGCCCGGTTCGGCCGCGTTCGTTGCCAAGGACAGGAGCCGGGGGTGTGAGAGGCAGGCGCGGCGGGCAGCCGGGGTGCTGGGGCTTTCTGCGCGGGACGTTGGGTCTAACAGCGTGGACCTGGGTATGCGTTTGTGCGCGCCCTGAGGCTTTGTGTACAACTCGCTCGTGTGTCTAGATTGGGTTTTGTGAAGCTTCACCTCACCCGCTGTACGTCTGTCTCCCCTGGTGTCAGTGCGTGGCGGGAGGGGTAGAGTGCTGAGCCGGCGGGTCGTAGGAGGATGTGGCTTGGACCTTAGCAGTTCTAGGGGTAGTTAACTTTGTGTGTGTGTGTGTGTGTGTGTGTGTAATCAGATCTACCCCCTCCCGGGTGTAGGTACAGTGTACTCCGCGAATCTGTGGGTTACACTGCGTAGCTTCCTGGATCTTTGGATGCAGTGTGTGGAATAGAAAGGACCCAGGGGGTTGTGAGTGTGGAACTGAGGTGTGCCTTTCAGGCCGGAAGGGGCTGCAGATGAAATTGGAATATAAGCGATGAGAGTGAGAGGTGTGAGTGGTGGGTACGGGGATCTGTCAGTTCGTTTCTGCTTATATTTGGGTAGTTGACCAGGCATGCCTTGTGTAAACTGGTGGGCATCTGAACTTGTGTGTGTGTGTGTGTGTGTGTGTGTGAGAGAGAGAGAGAGAGAGAGCGCTCGATCTCAGCTATGAGTGAGAGGAAGCCTCCTTTTTCAGTGTTTTCCCTCACTCAGTATCCTAAGGAAAAAGTTTTGGATTCCTCCAGGATGAGAGGGCTCTGCTCCCAGAATGTGGGTGCCCCAGTTTTCCTGGGATGAGAAGGCATCAATATGCTGGTTTGGAAAAGGGGTTCCTGGGCCACTCTAGGAGCTGCTTGGTGCTGTGGAGGGTGCTGAGGGCCTGGCTGGGATGGTCGGGCTGCATCTGAGCCCCTTGCAGCGCCCACCAGACACAGTGACCATTGTAGGGCCCTGCTTGTAGCTGTGCACTTCAGAAAAGTGCTTTTGGTGCCAAGAATAAAAGCCAACCAAGACACTTCTCTGCTCTGTCTGTCCCACTGGAAAGGGCCTTGGTCCTGAGTGGGCACTCCTCCGGGGTGTGGAAGGGATGATCTCCCTGGGGAGGAGGATGACAAGCCATTCCTCGCAGCTGGCTATGTGCCAAGCCCTGTGCAGAGGCCTGGGCACCCAGACATAATTCAGACACATCCCTGCCCGAAAGATGCTCACCATCACTTTTAAACAGTTGATAAAGTGAATGGTCTAGGAACAAGGGCTGGAAGAGCCAGGGTGGGGTGGGGTGGGGTGGGATGATGCCACTAGCACAGGAGTGTGGGTTTACCACTTTATAGATGATAATACTTTAGAGAGAGCCTGTCTTCAACCCCTGGCTCCCGATCTTGGCCATGCTTTGCAAGATAATTCCCATTCGCGGGGCTGATCAGGGTTATAGGAAATACTCCTGAGTGAAGTACCTGGTGCAGGGCCTAACAGGTAGTGTAGGTGCTCAGTAATTTATTAATTTGAACCTCAGGAGAGAGTGGTGGAAACAGGTTGCAAGTAGAAACAGGATTTGTACTCAGATGAAGGGCCCTGTGTGTGCTAAGAGGAGGTGTCTAGGGCAAGTCTGTTGGAAAAGTTGCCTTCCTGCATTGAGGCTCTGTGGATTTCATTCATTTGTTCTTATTCTCTGTCTCTCTTATACATACACACATAAGGAACAACAAAATGTGGGAGAATAAACTTGGGCATGCAGAGAAACATCTAGAAAACTGTCCATGTGTAGACACACCAGGGCATATGAGCCACTCTGCACCAGGGGGTCTCTCTATAGCCTGGGGACTTGGGTAGATGTACCCCCAGGATGTCAGGGTATACACAAGGTGTAGTTCTGCTTTGGGGTCAGGAATCACACATGCTCGGTGGGTAGAGAGCCCAGGTGGGGGCCGTAGGGGAGAGTACTTGATCTGCCTAAGAGAACCCCATTGCCCCCTCCAGCTGAGGGTTGTCATGAGGGAGTGGGCTCCAGAGTGGCCAGGTCCTCCCATTTTGCAAGAGAAGGCAGGACTCTGAATTTTCAAATGTAAAATCTTTAGCTTTTCCTATATTGGCAAGCAGTCTACCAAAAACAGACCAGAAACAAAACAAAACTTTTCGAGCCAAATGGGGTCCTCTGCTGGGGATGCCCATGTTGCAGTCTGTCGGTGCTGGTGTGTCCAGGTTCTTGGGTGGTGTTTCTTCTCTTTGCAACACAGAGATTGGACGCTTCTCACCTCTGTTAATTTGGCTTCTCAAATTCAGCAGGCCCCAAGTTCAAATCATGATCTATCCCTTCCAGACTCTTCTGATTCCTCATCCAAGTCCTTAACCTCAACCCCGGACTCTCCCCCTCCTCCCTTACAGTTAGTCTCAAAGACCTTGGTCATGGCTATCAAATCTGTTCCTTCCTGTTTGCCTTCTCATCCACCATTCATGCCATTCCCCTCCCCATACTGACCTCCTCGCTGGACCCCCAGCCTCCACTCTGCTCCCTCCCACCCTGCCTGTCCTCCACACTGAAGCCAGCTGAGCTCTCTCCTCCCCATGGCTCCCAGAGCTATGCCCTGGCTCCTTGGCCTGGCTTTCAGAGAGCTTTGTGATCTGACCCCAGCTGACCTCCAAGGCCCCTCCTCCCTCTCCAGGATGCCCTGGGCTCTCTCATTGCTGGGAGATTTCTGATGCTGCCTCTGAGGTCTGGTTCAAATGCCATCAACTCCTTGAAGCTTCCCTGACTTTCTCCTCTTCATTCCCACATGTCCTTCATCATGTCTGCTATCCCCACCTGCATCATCCTCATCTCATCACAGTCGTTTCCATTTGTTGAACTGGCTTGGGACTGTATGTGCGTTAATTTATGACATTCTGAGGGATTTCCCACGAGGGAGGCATTTCCCTTACTCCCACTTTACAGATGAGAAAACTGAGTGGGAGGTGTGGGTCACATCACTTGCCCAAGGTCAAGTGGGGATGCCAGGATTTAATCCTGATATACTGTATCTAAACTCCCTCCATCATAATTTAAAAACAAAGCAAAAAAAAAAAAAAGGCTAGTTGCCACTGAATCAATTCTGACTCATGGTGAGCCCATGTGTATTAGAATAGAACTGTGCTCCATACGGTTTTCGATGGCTGGGATCTTTCATAATAATAGCTCATTGCTAATACTTCTTGAAGGAGTCCCCGGGTGGTACAGATGGTTAATGTGCTTGGCTGTTAACTGTAAGGTTGGAGGCTAGAGTCTCCCCAGAGGTACCACGGAAGAAAGGCCTGGTGATCTACTTCCAAAAAATAATAATAATAAGCCATTGAAACCCTATGGAGAGAATTCTACTCTGTGACACACACAGAGGAGACATCAGTTGGAATCAACTTGATGGCAGTTGGTTTTGGTTAGTACTTATTGAGCACTTGCTATGTTCCAGGCACTGTTGTGAGGACTCTGTGCGGCTTATCTCAATCCCTACATCAGCCTCATGAAGTAGGAGGGTAGTAGTAATATTGTCATTTTATAGATGGGGGAAACTGAGGCCCACAGAGGCTAAGTGACTTGCCAAAAGTCACATATCAACCGGTGGTGGAGTGGGACCCTAGTGAGGCTCACACTGCACTGTCTTTGTCTTATTTGCCCATCTCTCCCCATCTGTGGGCTCCCCCAGGTGGGAACTGGGTCTGAGTCATGCTTACACTGCTTGAGCCTGGTGTGAAGTCTGGCACCGTCAGGCACTTAGCAGAGGTTTAATACATTTGACTGCCCTTCCATTTTCTCTTCTAGCTGCCCAGGGGTCAAGGGATGAGCCGAGGCCCTCCTTCCCAATGGCATCGCCTCCTGGTCTGGAACTGAAGACGCTGAGCAATGGCCCCCAGGCCTCAAGGAGGCCAGCTCCTCTGGGCCCGGCGGCCCCACCCAAGGAGGGTGTGGAGAATGCCTGCTTCTCCTCAGAGGAGCACGAGACCCATTTCCAGAACCCCAGGGAGGCCGGACTGGGCAGCTCCCCCAGCCCCCCAGTGGGTGTCCCCTCACGGCCCCGATCCCAGCGAGACGATATGTCCCTGCATTCAGAAGAAGGCCCCGGCCTGGAGCCCATGAGCCGCCCGGTGGATTATGGCTTTGTCTCTGCCCTGGTTTTCCTGGTGAGTGGGATCCTCCTGGTGGTGACAGCATATGCCATCCCCCGCGAGGCCCGCGTCAACCCGGACATGGTCACGGCACGGGAGATGGAACGGCTAGAGATGTACTACGCCCGCCTGGGTTCCCACCTGGACAAGTGCATCATCGCGGGTCTGGGGCTGCTCACGGTGGGCGGCATGCTCTTGTCGGTGCTGCTCATGGTCTCCCTGTGCAAGGGCGAGCTCTACCGCCGGCAGACCTTTGTCCCTGGCAGGGGCCCCAGGAAGACCTATGGCTCCATTAACCTGCGAATGAGACAGCTCAATGGGGACGGGGGCCAGGCCCTGGTGGAGAACGAAGTTGTCCAAGTCTCAGAGACCAGCCATACCCTCCATGGGTCTTAAGTAAGATAAGAGCTCGTCCTCTCTGGCTGCTGTAGCCCCAGAACGACAAGGCCCCTGAAGGCCTGGGGTTTCAACTGAGCTCCACACAGGACCCTGCAGAAGGTGTCTTGGGTGCTCGGGCAGGAGCCCAGGTCCTGGCGCAGGCCCCAGTCAGGCGAGCGGCTGCGGGTCTCTTTTATAGCTTGAGGTTTTGCATACGGTTTGGTTTGGAGGATGGCTTCTGCTACTAAAAATACAAAAGTTTGGAAACCGCTGCTCTGGGAGGATGAGGTTTCTTGGCATTTCTGAGGATTGAGAGCTATTTGAAAGGCTGCCCATCCCATTCTTCATGCCTTGGGGAATTCCAGGACCTCCGTTCTCCTCATTGGTCATGTGTGGCTGTTGGGTGACCTTGGAGGGACCCTTTTTATCCCTGACCATTTAAAGTGGGAGGTGGCTTCATGATGTAGGGAGAAGTCAGCACTGGTGTGATCCCTTGCCACCTACACCGTCACTGTCTCAACTGTGACCCTCCCTCTCCAGTCCTCAGTGGCCCTGTCTGTAGAGTGAGGGGGTTGGACTAGACGCCTAGGGCCCCTCCATTTCGGCCCTGGGAATGGGAGCATCTCTGCCTGCAACAGTCCCTTCAGGGGAGGAGGGTGTCCAGCAGGCACTAACCATCTTCTGGCCCAGCCTTGATGATCTCTTGTTAGATGGCCAGCAATGTCCAGACCACTCACAGTAATGCGAAAGGGCCCCCGAGCCCCTGCTCAGGCCAGGTTATATCCAGAGTCCCCCACAACCTGCCTTTCGGTCTCGGGGTCTAATTTCCTGAACTGACTAAATCTTAGCGCACATTTTATAAAACCAAGTGCACAGTTTTCACCAGCTCTCACTAGCTCTCTGGATGAAAGGAGCCTTGTAGGCATGAAAGGGTTAGGGCTTTGTAGTATTTCTGTGGACATGACATAGGCCTTCATCACCTCCTCAGTATTACATCTGCTGGACTTGATGTATGCCAATGGCAGAAAAGAAAAAATTAATACTGAATATGTAACCTTGCCCCGTTCCTGCTTAGCAGTAAGGTGCAGACCCAATTTATTTGGGAGGAGAGTTCAGACACTTTTGGGTGGCCTGGACATTTCAGTCACATTCAGTGTGATTTAGCTCTGTGTCTCTTGTAGAGTGTTTCTAGGCTCCTTCCAGACTCTCTTTAAACTCCTGACAAGGAGAGGAAGAGGGCCCTAGGAGGCGAGGAGATAGAGGTGTGTTTAGAACTGCAGGGAGGCCTCGTCCAGTCTGAACTGCCCTAGAGAGCTTCAAGAGTACACACCTTTGAGACCAGTGGTGTGAACACTCTGGAAGGGTCATTCCAATGAGACCCCTGCCTCCATCTCAAGCTGCTGAGCACATGTGGATCCTCTGTCTCCCGGGAGTATGGGTAGGAGGGGTGGGGCTGGGGACTGTAGGCTAGATGAACTGTAACACTAGACCTCAGTCCAGTGGGTTGAACATCTGAGCAGTGTAAAGTCACAGCTTTGGTGACAGATCAAATAGCTGCTCCTGCTGGCAGGTTTTGCCAGGAGCAGAGGGCTCAGGGAGGGCTGCAGGGCACAAGGGCTGTTTAGCTTGGCCTGACAGGTTGTGTTCATGGTACCCAAGGGAGCAGTTTGAAAAGAAAGCCCTAAGATAGTGAAAGATAGGTCAGACTTTGGGCTTCCACTGGTGGGTCATTTTCTTCCAGGTTCTAAGTAAGGGGTGGCTGCAGGAAGGGGCTGGCATGAGCCATTCTAGGTCAACTACAGTAGAACTAGACACCCCAAATAATGGGCTAAAGGCCTTTCAGATCCATAATTATCATCATCATAAAAATACCCATCCAAACCATATGGATTACTATGACAGTGGAGGACTCATTTGGAGACAAAACCCGTGGAGTAGATACGTCTGGGACCATCAATTCGTATCAGTTTAAATGAAATGAATTGTATTTAAGGACTAAATCTGTTAGAAGATTAAATCCCAGAAATCTCAGGTTTGCTCCAAGCCTGAGATGCCTGCTTTGCATCTTAATGCAGAAACTCCTTTTGAGAATGTGTATAATGGAGCAAGGCAGTCATTACCTTGTCAGTGAATTAGGAGAAGTTGAAAGATGCCAAAAACATGTCCCCAGGATTGCGGCTGAGATCTCCCAGTCGGCAGAGCAGAAAGAGGGTTAGGAAGGACTTGAGAGGGACATAGAATGGAGTTGCAAGAACTTTCTTTGCAGGTTTCTTTGGGAATAAGTCCCAGAGGACCCTGTCTCACTTGAGGAACTGCTTCTTCCACCCCAGCATGCTATTAGAGTCTCCAAACCTTGTGTATCAGAACAGATGTTGATTAGAAGTCACTCATATGTGGATTTGCATCCAGAGTCTGCCACTTGCTGTGTGACCTTGGGCCAGTTACATCACCTCTCTGAGTCTTGGTTTCTTTCTCTGTGAAGGGGATTAATGAAAGCTCTGCCACAGAGTGGTGCAGATCAGAGATAAGATAGAGATATGAGCGGGAAGAGGTCCAGTACTGATTCTCACTCTCCTTCTACACCTCTGTTGGGGCTGACTCCATTAGACCTAATGCCTTAGGACTGACCCTTCTGCCTTCTCTCATGCCTCATATGCGATCGATCCCTCAGCAGATATTGTAGATTCCGATTCTACCTTCTGAATCAGACTCCTGAACAGTGCCACTACCTGGTCCAGGTGACTTCTGAGCCCTCTGTCTCTTCCAGTTCATCCTCCACTCGGCAGCCAGAGGAAGCCTGTGGAAGGGTAATCAGGTCATGTGCCCTATTCAAAGCCTTCTCGTGGCTCCATCTCACTCCAAGCAAAAGCCACAGTCCTCATCATGGCTGGAGATGGCTAGTGAAGGAAGCATAAGTGTCCAGGCTCCTGACTTGTTCAAGGCCCTAAAATGAATTTTGTATTTATAATTTTGATTTATTTTTCTTAAGTTTGGCTCCCTAAATTGCATAAGCTTGAGAACACGCAACACCTGGATTCATCCCTCAAGTGGCCCACATGGCCCTACTCCATCTGGGCCCCTGTTCCCCTCTGATGTCATTTCCCACATCTTGCCATTCACTCACTCCATCCCAGCCAAACGGGCCTCCTTGCTGTTCCTCAGCTGTGCCAGGTACACTCCCACCCAGAGCTTTTGCACCTGCTTTCCCCTCAATATCTGAAATGCCCGTACTCTTACCTCCTTCACTCTTATCACCTCTTATCACTTACTTATCACTTACTTAAAACGATACCCCACCCCCTACCCTCATTCCCACTTCTCCTTCCCTGCTCTACTTTTCTCCAGCGCCCTCGTCCCCACTCAGCAGGCTGTATCATTATTTATTGTCTCTCTCTCTCATTACCTCCCCGCTGGATTGCAGACTCCACGAGGACTGGCATTTTGGTCTAACTTGTTCATGCTGCACCTCCAGAGCCTAGAACAGTATTTGACACATAGTAGGTGTTTGTTGTTGAGTATGAATGAATTTAATAAAGATTCCCAATGCCTACTATAAGGAGCTCTGGTAGCATAGTGGGTAAGACATTTGGCTGCTAACTAGAAGGTCAGTGGTTCAAACCCACCAGCTGCTCCGTGGGAGGAAGATGCAGTCTACGTCTATAAAAAAATTTAGCCTTGCAGTGCAGGCAGGGCCCTGGAGACCTGCTATTCCTGCTTCATCTCCTTCAGCCTCTTCTAGAGCCTTCTAGAAGTGGAAGTCAGTCATGTAGAGGATGAGGTGTGGGAAGCGTTGAAGGAGCTTGTTTGTTATTGCTTTTGGGGCTCAGGAGCCCTTTTGCCTTCCACTCTGAGCCTTTGGTTCCACTTTATGTGGAAGAGGTACAGGGGCCTCCCTGATGGAGAAAGAACACCCCACCACCACCCCAACCTGTTCTGAATCCAGCCAAGCTAGTCCTGAGAGACATTTGGTGAGTGTTTAGGAGGCTGTTAGATACATCAGCCTGATTCTCACCCACTGGAGGGAGGACCTTGAGTGCCCAGACCTGGACCCTTGAAATCTCAGTACCCATCATTACACCTGCTCACTCACTCCCCAAGTCCCCAATGCCTGCTGCCTGCGAGTCCACCACCGTTGTTGCCTTGGGATGTGCATCCCCTCTTCTGGGCTTCCCTTTAGAATGCCCTCCACCTTCATGTACACACAGCCACACACATGAACAGACACATTCATTCTTGTTCTGTTTCTCTCTCGTCTGACCTAGCTCAGAAGCCAAGGACACATACTCTTTTGAAGCAGCTCCAAGCTAGGGCATCCTCTGGATTATTGATCATGTTTCCTCTTTTTCTGGGAGCATGGGCTTGCAGTTCCCAGAATGATAACCTCTCGGCACTAGTCAAGTTTCCCCTCCCAAGCTTGGCCGGATGTCTCTGTATCCTTCCTGCTTCTCCACTGTAAAGGAGTAGGAAGCATTTCCACCCAGGCATTTATGGAGGCACTGTGTGGTCCCAGGCTGGAATCAGGTGAGCCAGGCCCTGCTAGGCATCTCCTTTGGGCCAACCAGTCCACGGCTCTGGTTTTCCAGAGAAAAATCAGGGAGCCTTCCCATTCTGCCTTTTCCTTGGGCTGAGGGAATCAGAAAGCATAGCAGAAGGGCTTTCCAAAGTTAAGACATGGTACCTTTCTTCTGGAGAGGTTTGGTGGGACAGGAGGAGAAGGGAAGAAGGGAGCCATGATGAAGAAACCAGAAGAGGTGGGGAAAATCTAAGAGTCGGTCAGGAATGTGGGATGTCAGTGGCACTAAGGAAGTCAAGGGGATACCCTCCAGCTGGGCCTATTAGTTTCTCCTGGAGAGAATGGGCCCCTTGGTGTCCTCCAGGAAGTAGATTTCAGCAAAGGGAAGATGCTTGCTGAGATCTTGCCCAGACTGGAGCGTTAGGGAGCTCTTCATCAGTGGAGGTATGCTAGCAGTCACTGGTCAGGTGTTGGGGATCAGAGATGGAGTGTAGTGGAGCTGGGT